ATCTATCGATAATTTTTACTACATTTAAATCAAAATTTCGGTATATGTTTAGTAGTGCCAATCCAGTAAGTTTAATTTCTCTCATATTGTTTCGTTAGTACGTTTTAAGTCTTCGTAGAGTTGAGAATGACCGTTTAGTAGTGGCAGTTGTAACAGGTAATGTAGCTAAAATGTACCTAACAGTATTGATTTAATAATATATAAATTAGCAATTTAATAGGAGTTTTTAGTCATCGATTGAGATATAAAATAAGATTATTAACAAAATGTGAGTTTTCTAGGTAAATAAAGGCTTATATCGCAATGTTCAGTTCTCACACGTGCATAATTCTCAGTAATCAGTTATCACTTCATTCCATTATAATACTAGTATATAAACTTGTATTTCATACCTGCGACTAATATAAACAAAAGAAAATTCACCAATGGCTACTAATAAAAGTATTTTATAATAATAGGTGTTAAATTTGACTTAATTTTTAAAGAAATTATTTCAGGGGGGTTTGAACCGCCCCTGTATACGTGCTTGTACATATGAAGTTATAACTTATAACTATTGTTTGTAAGTCGTAACTGCACATATAAGTTGATGTACCAATGCCTTAGACATTTTGCATAAGACTGAAATGTGATAAATAAGTATAAAAATGTGTTGGTTGGTGTATACATTTAATTATCCCTAATAATTCTAGAAAACTATAATTTCAAGTATTTACAGTGATTAGTTTTTGAATTACAACCATATAAAAATATGGTTATAAAAAAACTGATTTTGCGTAAAAAGTCCCGTTTTTCCGTCATTTTTTTTTTCTCGATTTTTTTGAAAACTGTTGGAAAATTTTTACTTTTTACCTCTATAATGCACCAAAGATATTCACTTTGCCATCGGTAACCACCCCCGAGGTTTGAAATTGAAGCATTATTTCGACTACTTATGCTGTACACAGACACAAAAAAAAAAACACACATCATTGTAAAATCAATACATTCATCACTCCGTTCAGAATCTAAAATTAATTTTTGTTTAATTATTAGGTTTTGTTATTATTAATAATAGTTCACTTTTTTTTTCTCATATATAATAATAGGTTATATTGCTATTATGTAGGATATTATGTATATTATTTAATACATCATAATTGGTAGAAAAGGATTACATTTTAGACAAGTATTAAATACTGAAATAATACTTTTATTTTTTTTATCATATGTGATAGAATATTAGATTATACTATATACTATTTAACTACTGCCTACTTTACTATTGAATTATTTAAAGATTTTTTATATTTTTATCAATTATCATATTTTTTTTTAAGTGAATAAATCTATTATTAGCACAGTTATAGTCTATAGATTTGATTATTAGATAGGACATGTACATTAATCATTATTTTATTTCTTTTTTAAATTTTTAACTAGGTACCTTTTATGCTTAAAAATAATTATTTTACAATATGACAAATCCTTAGTTTGACAATTACTGTCAGGTTATAAGCAAAACTCTTTCTGAAATATTTTTGAAAACCAAACTAGAATACAGTCATGAATCATATAGTACTTCATGTAGTGAATGGATTCAGAAATATTTGCACAAAGACTATTCATTTCAAGAATAAAACTCTATTAAATTTAAGTACCTAATAGTTATAGAACCCGACTAAGAAATATAAATTGCAATGATATCATTAAAATAATTGTAAAGAAAGATACTACCTGCCGATACAAAAATAAAAGATAAATACATAGGTAAGACAAAAATAGAATACTCTATATAAAGGTATGTGTCAATGCGTTACTTATGTGCTTTTTGGTTCTTAAGGTGCAATGCTTATACTGTTACTTTCAATGCTTACAATCACTTTATTACCTATAATATAATCTTAATATTAGGGTAGTTCAATTTTAATGAGTTACTTTAGAATAATGTCTGATTTTTTGAAGTGTCAATGGTTTATGTATAATGTATCTTTCTTTACAATTATTTTAATAATAGCATCAAAGATTTTCATCAATTTGAGATACCCTAAGAACATGTGCTTTGGTGCAAAATGATTTCTATAGAAGTTATGATTTTTAAACTCTATACGGAGAACATTTAATCAAGTCTTTTATGATAATTTTTTAGGATATCAAAAACAAAATTAACTAAGGCAGCAGAATTAAATGCTTTGCATTGTTCTAACTCAATATTTTTGAATATCCTAATGGATGCTTCTACTATGTTGTTAGTATTATATCCATAAATTTGTAGTTTCTTCAGTAATAAACTGGCTGTTCTTCTGTTCTAATTTTTAATTTACTAATATGATTTGTGAATAATGTGTTACTATTGTCATTTGTCACACAATTCATTCATTTTGTTATTAGCATTTTCTTCACTTTATTCAATTAAAATATTTTAAATTTTATCATAAACTTTGTGGTTCATTTTTTTCAATGCCGTTCTTGCTTTTACATAACCATCACCCTAAGGCTCAGCACAAATTAATTATAAAAAGTAGTAATGTTGACTTTGGAAAAACTACTTCCAATGCTTGGCGTTCAGCTTTACTGTTGTCTGTCATAAAAACCAAAGGTTGTTGTTCTCCACAAAATTCTATTTCACCCAATCATTATCTTATTAAATGAAATGCATGTATATAACTTTCTGATGTTGAATATTTATGAACAACCACTCCATAAGGAATACCATCAACATTGGACACACCAAAAAACATAATCCTCCTGGATCACAAAATCTGCTTAAATCGACAAAAACTATATTTTAAGAGAATGGCATAATTTTATGTGCTATAGTAGGTATAATATAATATTTTAGCAAATATGATAGAAAAAAAAAAGCATTATTTCAGTATTTAATTCTTGTCCACCAAATATGTATTAAATAATATGTATAATATTCTATATAATAATAATATAACCTATTGTTTTATATAAGAGAAAAAGCAAAAGTAAACTATTAATATCAATAACAAAACCTAATAATTCAATAAAAATTAATTTTTTGTACTTAATCCTCATTAACTTATTAACTTTACTCATAAGTCATAATTTACCAAACACAATGTATTAAATAATATGCATAATATCCTATATAATAATAATATAACCTATTGTTATATTAAAAAAAATAAAAATAATATTAATATTCCTAGTACCTATATAAAATAGTATATAATACAATATTAATATAATAATATGGAAGAATACTGAATACCAGTGGGAAATATATTAGATTTATTAGGTTTCCAAACCGTACCTGAATTTAGTGCTATGGTGCTCGATTCAAGTAGCATAATATGTAAATACACCCCGACCTCCCATTGCAACGCATCACTGGCCTATGTTATTACCTATTTTGTTTTCGCTTAACGTACTTGATGATAATTTTTTTTTCTTTTTACTCAGCTCCTAAAGATGGTGGCAGTAATTTAAAATAATCAATATCCTTCCTAAAGAAACTATCATACATAAAAAAAATATTTCAAATCTGACAGTTAGTTTCAGAGGTTAGCGAATTGAAATAAAAAAACTAACTCTTCAGCTTTAATATATTAGTGTAGGTATATTATAAATTATAATATGACGTATTCAATGACAAAATAATTACCTTTAAGGCTTTGTATTTCTTTACTTAGGTCTTCTGAAATAATTGTTAAATCAATAATGGTAAATATTAAATGAATCCATCAATTTTATTGAGTTTTATGATTTTTTTAAGTCACAATTAACTTAATGATCATTGAATTTCAAGATTTTCATATGCAAATCAAAAAAAATTGTATTCATTCTTTGCATGAAAAAATAAAATTTGGTAAACATTTTATATACCATTGTGATTTATGATTTAACAGATAACTTTTTGAATTGAATTTAAAAATTAACCTTTTAAAATGATGCATATAATCTTAATTTTTAGTATTTATATATTTTTTTAACAATATAGTTAAGGTAAATTTCATTAAATTGATTTATTTGCACATATTATTGATAATAATTAATAAAGAAATAATAGGTAGGTTACAAGTAAATTAATATCAGCAGGAAAGTATTATGAATGTAGTTATACACCAAGTAAATTAATTTTTATAATTTCTGTGTATGAAATTGTTATTTATTTATATACATTTTTGTTATAACTCTTCAGCTATTTATTTGTTTTATTTACTATAGTCCATAGCCCAACAGTGACTGGTAATTCAGCTAATATATATATTTATATATACACTAATTATATATTAAATTCTGAGTAAAGAAATTAATGCATTCATTTTACAGTGTGTGTTTTTATTTATTTATTTATTATTCTGTTTATTCTAAACTTATATTTTTATCAATTACAATAATTACATTAGAAAGTAAATAATATTTTGATAACTTAAGATAACATTAACCAGCCGGGAGGAAGTAATTCGAAAGCAGTTCCCTTCCCCGGTCGTCGGTTCAAACAAGAAAAAAAAAAGATAACATTAACCAATACATTTTAAATAAATTATTTTCAAGTAAAATATAAGTATCTAAAGTTAAAAAAAAAAATAATAATTAAGTAGGTTATCAATATTATATTTTCTGGAATATTTAAAGTTTATTTTTAATTATAAATATGTTTTCTGAAATAAATTAATTTTCATAAATACAACCATAAAAACATATGAGTGATGTACAAAAAGTATTTATCACAAAAACAAAAAAAAAAAAAAAAAATCAATATAATTATAAAATACATTTTACATAAAAAGGTGACAAATAATAAATATTTAAAAAAATGAACTAACATGACATCAGTATAACAAACTGTACCTGAGAAATTCTATGTTGTTTAATTATCTTAAAATACTTAAATTAACTCTTATTTCAAATTTGTAATCCTAAAAATGTTGAATATTGATTAAATCCTTTATTCTTGATAGTTATAATAAAACTCAAGCAACATAACAAATTAGAAAAATTATTTTTTTAATCAAATAATTTAATTACAATTATAAAACTGTCGAGCATACATAAAGCATGTTTAAGTATATGAAAAAATCAAATCAATTAAAAATATCCAAAAATTATCAATTTCAAAAATATTTTAAACACTGTTAAAATGGTTTATGTTCAGTCAGTGGTTGGTGTTTGATTTTTATGTCCAGATACAATAGTATGACACATTGGACAGTAATCCTAAGAGAGAAAATAAAGTAAATTTATAAAAAACAACAAAATTAAATTATATACAATTTAGTTAATAAAACAATTTTTATATGAATTTAATTTTTAAATGATTGATTAAATCTTAGTATAACTGTAATGGCAGCTTTTGTAAACTGCTTATAATAATTGAGTAAAATTTTTTTAAATACATTATTTAAATGATTTTTTAAAACAGTACTCAAACATAGATTTTATTATTTTTTTCAAAATATTTAAAATCAAATACCAACTGATATTTACTGTTAATATGTTATGTTAAAATAATTTTACTTATTAAAAGGCATTAGGCTTTTCTTCAGTATTTATAACACTTAAGAATAATAACTTAAGATTGATTTACATTATATAATTAATTGTTACAAAAAAATACTAAATAATTGTTTACCTTTATATAGAGCCATTTACGTAGACATCTTCCATGATAATAATGATTGCAATTGGTAATTTTTGCTGATTTCATTATTTGAAAACATATAGGACAATGATTATTAATTAATAATGTTTGATCAATAGTTGCATCTGCTAAAGATTCAATTTTGAGCGTGGCTAGACGACGTCTAATGAATATTTTCCATCCTTTCTTAATGCCACACCATACAACCAAATATGTATCTAAAAATATCATGGGTGCATGGGCCAAACTATCAGGTATGTAAATCGTATTATAAATACCATGTAAAAAAAAAACGACGCCAAAACAAAAAGTCACCTAAAATAAAAAAATGTTTACCTTAACTATAAAAAAATTTAAAGAAATTTTAAAATTACCGCACAGCCAAATGATTGGATATAGAACACATAATCGTCCAATTTTTCTTCAAATGGTATGCTATGATCAATAATTAATAATAAATATACATTTAACGTCACAAATATTTGTATGATATTTTGAATGTTTAAAGAAGAAACTACTATTAACCAATTGCTCATTAGATTGGAATACCACAAGTACATCAATGTAAAAAAAGAAACCATTAAAAGAAATCCGCTAACAAAAAGAGGTCTTAAGTGCCTAAAAAAATGTAATTAAATTAAATTAGTTTTAAAATATTATTGATAATAATTAATATAATACCTATGTAGTGAAGAATTATAAGATATACCCATAGACAATAATAATGGACTAGCCATATTATGAATAAAACTCACTAAGAGACCAAAAATTAAAAAAAATATTCGATATAGTCCCATAAAACGCTCTTCTGGCTCTATGAGTGTTAGTCCAGTTAGTACAGCTAGTATATAAAATAATGTAGCAGATAAATTTTCAATGCTCATAGTTTCGTCATCTGAAGTCATTAATATCTAAATAAATGAACATTAAAAACATCATATCATTTAAATTAGTTTTCAAAATTTTAGTTATCTTACCGTTCGAAAGAAGTCTCCAATAACATAGCAAAAAAATGATACAAAACTTGTCATTCCTACAACTGCAGTAAATGTATCACAACCTCTAATTAACAAATATTTTACAACTACAAACAAAGGTTCATTTTTCATTTCCTCATGAATTAACAAGTATGCTATTTGTTCCAATACTCGTATTGCCCAAAATATTCGTAGAATACTTGAGATTTTGAGATGAATCCATTGATTTGCAATAAAATAATTTAATTCACGATTACTGAAACAAAATACATAATTTATCAAATAGTATGAATAAATAATTTACACAGAATATGTTAAGATTATAATTTTTATAGAAATATTGAATCATAATAACTATATATAAAATGATCTTACTTAGCGGTCACTTTCAAAAATGTAATCCCACGATTAATTATACTTATTATTGAATATATATTTAGCCATAATGTTTTTAATATAATAATAAAAAATGGCAAAAAAGTTGATAATACAGTTACTGTAATCGAAATTTCATGCATACTTGGTATTAATGCCATTATAGTAGACATAATACAACCTAAATAAAAAACCTGAAAAAAATAAAAATATTATTTCTATTTAAAATAGAAGTTAAGTTAATTGGATTCTTACTTTATGGTTTGAATGATTTGAAGTATAAGCTTGTAAAAAGTCAAATACTCGTGATAAAAAAATCTGTAGTAATATATTAAAGAAAAGCAAGTACAAGACATTAACTGTTTGTAATTCTTTAAAATGATGTTTAATTATGTCTACATCCAATGTTGCAACTCCATTCATTATAGCTGTCTTAAAGTTTTCATCCAATAAGAAATTTAATGTTAATTTATTTGTCCAATAAGAAAAAAGTACAACACAGACAGAAACTGAATGTAAATACACCAGGTTCAAGTACCGGGTAGGTAGAAAAAATAAACATACTGATAACCCAAATACTAGTAAAATAAAATAAAATTAATAGATGATGTTTTTATACTATTTTTCTTTGAAAATTTATTGTACTTACTTGAAAAAAATACCATTGTTTTAATGAAGAATGGAAAAAAGCTGTTGTAGAAATGTATGTAATAGTCATCCTTAGGAGCATTACTCAAATTAGTCATAAGATCATCAAAATCATAAAACCCGAAACTCATTTTGAAAATTTGATCCATAATAAATAAGAATGGAACCCTTAACAAATCAGTGAGTTCCATGATGAAAAATAACAGCAATAAAACCTAAAATTAAATACAAATGTTTTAAATATTTTGTTAATATTGACATATCAAATCAGGCAAAATAATATAAGTACATACTTTAAAGACACTAATAAATTGATATTCAACAACCACAGGTACAGCCAACACTGACGAAACGACGAGTAATTATCTAAGAGAAACAATGGTTCTCACTCACACAAAAGCCTATGGACGATAAATATACTAATATTAACCATGGGTAAGCACGTAGGTTTGTTTAGTCTATGCATTTACACAAAAGTGAAAGCAATGAAGTCGATATGAATTGTGAGGTTAAAAATGGGATTAGTTTATTATCAAGATTCAATTCTAACCTTATAACCTTTACTGTTTCATCCTCAAACTATGGAATACGAATATAAAATGACAGTCATCGGCGGACGGCGGATCTTAAGCTGAGTAATCTAGAATAAAAAAAAAAGAAAAGTAACAAAACAGCTGTTGTAATTTATAAACTTAAATCAGTTGATACTACTTCGTCATGATGATAACAGCGGTCACTGAGTGTGGATCTCTTTCCACGGCCTTTAACATGTGTTGACCGCGGTCTTAGTTTTTGTTGTCACAGACATACCAACAAACCTAATATACTAATATTACGATATAATTATAAACTAATACATATCAAATAAAATTTAACGGAGATGAATAATTATTAAATTAGGTAGATACTATTCGATTTGTTGCCTCCATATTAAATATGCAGGATACTGATGCATTATGTACTATTAAAATATTCTGTTAACTAGCACCAGTTTACGTATCATATGGCCAACACAACTGATGCCATTATTAATCGTAACATTTCGTTATATTTTTTTTTTCACTCTTATTTAAACGCTACTGTGTGCATTTATCGATCAGAAACATCTGTAGTACGAGTAAAACCTGTCATTTCGTTTCTCTCTCCGTTATGTTGGCCAAATGCGTAGATATTTCAGTGGAAATGGTAATGCTGTATCCATCTAGGTACCCACTTGGCTACCAATATTTAATAATTTAACATCAATAAAATTATTAGTTGTTATTTTCTGGTCACAATAGTTACGATAGTTATACAATAAAATTGTGTATATCTATCTCATAGTTACAAGCATACTCTGAGTATAAGGTCTATGGTTACAACTTAACAAGATATGAAGTACTTTGGAGTTTATAACCGGTTATGAGTTACTTTTACGATACTTGCCTAAATTGGTTATACTTAAAGTTACTTAATAATTATTTTATTTTATTTCTACAAATAAATAATGACGCTGTTAAAAAAATATTTGTTTTGAGGATCCGTGAGGAAAATATATTATGTACCTATTTGTTGTATGAGTTATACTATATTACTTGATTAAAATAAGTACAAATATTAACATTGAAATAATGAAATATCACACAATTGAATAGCTAATATTATCATCATTATAATTATCAATGGTCAATGGGTACACATTTTAAAATATAGAATCATTAATTCTATACTATGTAAATATTTTGAAGGAAAAACGTGAATTATTTACTGAAATAGTTAAATACCTATGGATGGATAGAATCGAAACAAATCCTATTGCTACACTATTTAAAATTGTGTGCCATTGGTATTACAGTCATAATACCTAATATCATCATAGAGTATTTAATATTGTAAAAAATTGAATATGCTACGCTAAATCAGTTTATCGTTGATGGAAATAGAGCGCGCTCACAATTACTAAGGAGAATATTTAATTTTTCAATAAATGCATTAAAATAATGTAACAAATTGTTCATATTCCATTGTTTAGAATATTAATAATGTAATAATAATTTTACCACCATCGTACTCACTAGACGTGTCTGCTACTAAGTACTTTGGATATTTGTACATGAAGTACGAATATATTATAAAATCATAGATTATATAATGTATATTATTATATATTTTCATATAATTTGTGATATTAGTACATAGGTACTCTATGTTTTTTTAGTTTTTTGGCAAAAACGCGATCATTTAGGAATTTTTGTCCACTTATTAAATTACCGTACTTGATAACACTGCTTCCTCAGCCATCACATACATTGCTTAACGCTCGTCGATCATACGGTAATACGGTATTGCTATCCAGTATCCACTGTCTACACGACCGCCCTATGACCACATTTATTTCTTCTCTCTTCCGATTTCTTCACGGCCGTATCCTCTGTTTATAGTGTATATACTTAATAGTTTATACCATAACCATACATTTGTGCACTCAAAATTCGGAAAGTCACAATTATACGTATTAGTACTTAAAGTGTGTTCTATATTATTCAATTCAATTGCAAAGTTTGTTCTCTTTGGATACATTTCTTCGTCTTGCGACAATAATCATTTAGTAAGTATACAATCTAGTTTTTTTTTTAACTCAGGCGCGATGTATTTTTGAAAACTCATCATTTCGGTCGGCCTAATGGTATTGTAGACTTTATTGTACGACAATTGTTGACATCTCGATTATCCGACGGCTGTGGTCGCTCAGTTTGCAAACATTTGCATATTTGTAACTAACGCATTATCAACACTTCAAACAGTCTAAACTAAAAGGTGTTTCCGTCATGTGGGTATGGATCTACATTGTAATTTAAGGTTATTTTTAGATTAGGTTTACGGTATATATGTCTTACTGGTATAATTGCATTTAAAAGTTTTGGTGTAAAAAGGTCTTAACGACTAGAGTATCAAGATACTAACCGCAGCATTTTCGGTATTAAACTTTTAGTCAAATGTATCTACAGCTTTCGTGTGTTTATCGTTTGCTTTTTTTGGGATTGCTTGTATAGTTATACAATTTGACTTTAAAGTAATCTCCATAGACAGTAATTCATCACGCACTTTATAAAACCTCTTTAGCTAATAATTTTTTTTTTTTAAATATAAAAATGTTAATTTGTTAAATATTTAATAATACATACACAATATCATGTTTGTGTTTAAAGTACAATATTAAGTTTACAAACTTTTATCACAATATACTCTACAGTATTAATCAAACAAGTATAACACTACTTAAGTACTAGAAAACATTAGATTTATTACATTAATATTAACGAATGTAATCTTTGTTTTTGATTTTTCACTATTTAGATTATATACCAACTTTTTGTTTTTATTGTATGAAAATTTTTTATTAGGTTGTAGCTCATTCAATTTGCTTATTATTATCATTTAAGAGACTATTAATAATTAATAGAATTATTTTCAAATATTTATGAACAATATAATATAAAATAAAATTGAGGAATATTGATTTTCCAACACATATAGTTTAAAATTAACTATACCTATAATTAAAATATAAGTAAATCATTTGTAAAAATCACAAACATTATTCAAGTCAACTTTTTATGTATGATACTATTTTTGTTTTTTAATATATTGATTAAATTAAATTAAATATTTGTCTTGAATTAGGAAACTTGAAAGCATCTTCAACTGTGAGTTAGTTAGTGGTAAATACATAGATACCCTAAATATTATTATGCTAAGTCGTAAACGATTGTAAACAGTAAGACTACATGTGCCAATTGCATCTCATAACCATTGTTTTATTTTCTGAATTTCTAGGTTATTTACTAGAAATATATATATTATATACCTTTGGAAATAAAGTAACACCGGGACTTTAACAATGGCAAAAAAATTTAACGTTGATCAAAGATATAACAACAATCAATCCCATTGTGAAACTGTAAGTAGCTTTTAAAAATGCATATTGTTTTTGTAACTAATACCGTTGATTATAAATACTAGGATTTTGAACTACCAAGACTTTATGATGTAAATGATTCAAGTTCTTTGGAAGTTGTTAGAGCGGTACGTAATGTTACGATGTGGGCAAAAATAGCTGAATTGGAGTAAATATATATTTTAAAAACTATAATTATGTACTTATTGCATTATTAATGAGTATATTTTTTTTTAGAAAACAAATAAGAGAATTCAGGTTTCAACAATTCGAAAAGTTCCTGGAAGAACATTAATAGTAATGATTATAAAAAGCCAATTGGTAGGATTACCCAGTCATGTAAAGTATTCATTCTGAATATTTTTATTTGTATTTTTTCTAGTATTAATTTGGGCAAATTATAAATCATAAATATTATTTTTATTCATTAAACAAAATATAATGCAAT